TGATTTCCAAAAGTCCACCGAAGGGTTAAATATAGAAAATGGGTCACGATTTTCCAATCGGTTGCCAGCTAGTTCCAAGGCATATTTGTCAAAAAATTTTCCGCGTAATCTGGCGTTTGTGTTTCCCCGTTCTGGCCCGTTACGCTGTTCTTGTTTCATTCCGCGCGGTTGGTCCCTCGCGAAAATCAAAGTCCCGTTTCCGGGCGCGTTTCTCGAGCCGCAGCCGGCTGGCTAGTCTTTAAAGGCCGACGTACTCTCGGCTGGTAGCAAAATGTAAACCGGAAAAGCAACGAGCAAGTGAATTAGCGAAGTGAGTTCGCGATTCCCTCTCTCCCGCCCCCTTCACCCCTGCCACCTCCGTCTCCTCGTTTCGTCCTTCTTTCTCCTCGTTCGCCTGGCCACCTTCCATTCTCTCTCGCCACGGATCTGAAAGAAGGTCTCTGCCGGTCATTGTCCCACTTGGAGGTCTACTTGGACTTGGACTTGGACCACACCATAGGCATGGTGCGCTGAGTAACGAGGTTCCGATACCCCCATAGGGGACCCCCTTTTGCGCCTATATTCTATACGCAACACGTACGTTGCCCGTTCACAGACAGGGACGGACGGGGACAGTGTTCGCCGCCGGTGAACGAACTTTAAACGCACCGTGATGCCAGGTATGCGCGAAAATCTTCCTAAACGAGCCTACGCTAGCCAAGCAATCGCTACATTCGAACACGATCGTGAAATATTTCAAAGGATCCACAACGGTTCGTTAACCTCTTCTAGGACGTTGACACACATGTCTATAAATAAACTTTACAGTTTTGGAATCGTTTATGACCCAACCCAGACCTATACCGTATCATATATTTTACAAATTCCGGGGGAAACGTGGTTATTATAGTTGTCGAGAATTAGTTCGCGACACGCGAATCCGTTGATCCGCCCCTGCATATCGCCACGTACCGTCGTCGAAACCAAACCGCGTCACTCGCCTAACTGTACATAGGCTTGTGTGTACCGAGGTACCGTACAGGTACGACGCGGCCAAACGGTCGTAAAACCATGAATACGCCGGGACGTTTACACGTGGGCCACTATGCACAAGCGTCCACCCGTTCTATGCGTGTACAGGTGCGTATAAAGCACCGTTGCGCGGGCAACGCGCCTCTCGAAGGCGCGGCCAAAAGTAAAACCGAATTCGTTTTCGGTAGGACTCCGACCTGCCGTGTTTCTGCTTATCTTTCCCGCCTTATCTCTTTCTCCTTCACTTTTCCCATCGCGAAACTACGCTCGAACGCTCCTACGAATTTTTCTCGTCTACGTATCGCCGCGGATCTTGCTATTGGAGGGTTTTTTCGGGGTCGGCGATTACGAACCCGGAGTTGAAAGTATCAAATCCAACATGGCGACGCTCTCTCGATTGGCGAAACGCGTCTCGTAGTTTCTATTCTAGACGCTAGATAGCGCCGCCAAATTATGGACACCCGACGCTGCGTAGAATCACGCTCGAAGACCGTGTTTGTGATTTCCCTCTAACTTCTACCATTTTTCTTTGATTTGGGTGATATTTTGGCTGGTTGCGCTTTGCACTACGATGGAAAGTATAGGCTACCTGATTCCGGGGGAAATATTTAAAGTATGGCGTTTGAACGAGCATAGTGTTCTCTATCGACTTGTCATGTAATGAATAAAATTTGTATTATAGAGGGCTAATGAACAATTTTTGCTTTCTAGAAACATTTGTATATACTCAAAATTTTGAATGACTGTAACCTACATTTTCGTTTGTGTACAATCTTAAATATTATAACGAACCAAGAGACTACTCCTACACGTTCGTGCAACAAACATTTTTTGTTCGTTTTAACAACAAACAAAAGAACAGAAACATAGCAGGTTGGAGCGAGTTGTGCGTTTTTGCACGGTTCTGCGGTTTTCCGTGGATCAGTTCGAAATAAAAAAATTGATAAAAGAATCATTTTTATGGTTTTTTATCGTAAAACAATCGAGTAAAAATTGCCCTGCGTGCAACGCTAGAGGTGTACGTTACGAACAATGTAGCCTCGTAAAAATCCATCGAGCCTGAAAAATATGATCTTGTGGAAGCGTTTGAGGTTTCGCAGCTTTGGAACATTCCGATTTAAATAAAAATTTGGGAACAGTTTGCAATTCCGTGGGGTGAAATTTCTCGACACGATTCTTGGATAACGACGGGTTATAAAATCGGTATTATCGTGATTCCCCTTAAATCGCGCTATGATCGTGCGCAAGCGCGTGCCGTAAAAGGTAACGCCGGCATCCTCCGGCTCTTATGTAACCCAAAGGCGAGAGATGAATCGAGCCATGCCGGGTCAGAGACATCGTCCTGCATCCTCGGGTTCAGGACCCCGAGTCGTGGGGAATTCGTTGAACCTCGCGGGTTCATCGTATCGAGCGACGACGGAGCGTTACGTTGCGCCGATCGTGATTAGCCGATCGAACCTGGCGGCCCTGAATTCGCCCCGGTATCTTTTCATCGATCTCGACAGGGACAATGATAGTCGAGAGGAGGCTGTGCGCCCCGTTCCTCATCGTCGATGAAGTCACGAACGGACCGTGACCGAGGCTGAATCCTTTTTCTCGGTCGGTTCGTGGCATTCTAAATTCTGTTTCGACTCGACGAGCTGTTCGACGTTGTCGGGAACGCTACGACGAGACCGCAACACCTGACCCGAAGGCATTCCTCCTACGCGAAATATTTTAAACCTTGGGAGATTTATTTTCAAGTTAATTGTACCGTAATTCGAACGCTGAGTGAGTGGGATGTACAGTTGAATATTATTTAGATAATTCGGGTTTAATGTCTGGATTTGGTAGAATTATGTAGGATCGAGTAGAGAAAGAGAGAACGTGCTGAGGTACAATAGTAGTTGGAGTCAAGATGGTGTCTTAAAGTGGCTTTTCTTGACGACACGGAGAGGGTTAATAATTCTGGAAATAACCCCTTGGTGTGAAACGATAAGGGGTAGATTACGCGATTGTGATCTCTGGATCGTGTTGTAGCTTGAAAGAGCTCTCACCAGGGCGTCGACACGCGAGGCTAATTATTTAAATATCGAAGAGTTCGAATGTTACGTGCAGATATTTGTAGTATTCTAAATTTGTTAACTAGCGACACGTCATGGTAATAACACGTTTATCGTTTTGCTGATAATATCGGAATAAAATATTCGAACAGCGGCAGTACAAAATAATTGCACATCGTTGCCTCAATTATTTCAAATAAAGAGTGTCGTCGATAAATATTTTATATTCGACAAAAAATGAAGGAAAGTCGATAGTACATTAACATTTTGATTGCCATGTCAGTGTACCATATTTAGAGATGCCCTCGACGTTTATTCAAATTATAATGTGAGAAATAGAAACATTCCAAAATGAAACGGTCACCGGTGACCACCATGCCAGTGAGCGTGTTATATCAGAGTAGCTATAAAATAATGGTGATAGAGTTGGTCAGAGGGGTTAAATTAATGTCATATATGCCTTCTTTCCTGATAAAGAATTTTGAAGCACGTCCAAACCGCCATGGCAGTGAATATGCTAGCATCGGAGCAGGTATAAAATAATCGGGACAAAGATCGTCAGAGGGGTTGAATTACTATTCCAGACGCCTTGTTTCGTGAAAAACAATTTTTAATCACGTTGAAAGCTGCCGGTCACCGGTGACCACCATGGCAGTGAGCGTGTTATATTAGAGTAGCTATAAAATAATTGTGATAGAGTTGGTCAGGGAGGTTAAATTGATATCAAACATGCCTTGTTTCGTGAAAAACAACTTTGAATCAACTTGAAAGCTGCCGGTCACCGGTGACCACCATGCCAGTGAACATGTCAAGTTAGAGTAGCTATACAATAATTGTGATAGAGTTGATCAGAGGGGTTAAATTGATATCAAATATGCCTTGTTTCGTAATAAACAATTTTTATTCACGTTGAAAGCTGCCGGTCACCGGTGACCGCCATGGCAGTGATCGTGCTAGTATCGAAGTAGGTATAAAATAATTTGGGCAAAGATCGTCAGAGGGGTTGAATGACCATTCTATACGCCTCCTTTCGTAATAAACAATTTTGAATCACGTTGAAAGCTGCCGGTCACCGGTGACCACCATGCCAGTGAACATATCACGTTAGAGTAGCTATACACTAATTGTGATAGAGTTAGTCAGAGGGGTTGAATGACCATTCTATACGCCTCCTTTCGTAATAAACAATTTTGAATGTCATGCAAAGTTGCCGGTCACCGATGACCGTCAAGGCAGTGAAGGTGGTGTAAGCGTCGGAGTAGGTATAAAATGATGGCGGGCAGCGTTGGTCGTAGGGAAGTGGTTAGATTAGTATCGTGTGTTCCGTTAAAACCGAGCGTCTCGCAAAAGTACAAGTGGAAACGGAGGGTATCCGGTCGGCCGTGGTGGAACGCCGCTCTCGAGTGGTTCTAGTCGACGTCTGGCCGTACGTGGACGGCCGCTTTCAATGGGGACACGTGATCGGCAGAGTACGGCAGTGGTGGAGGTCGACCGGCTGGTTCGCGGCGATGGTTCCCTCTCTTTCCTTTCCGTTCCTTCTGTTCTCGGCCGAGGACCTCCTCTGCGTACGCCGGCACGCCGCGGAGTCACGGACGACCGCTATATCATTTTCGCTACCGGCCTGCGCGCCTCGGTTCACCGTTCCCGTCGGTTGTTGAACCCGACTCTCTTCGCGCGCTGCATAACCCATTTTGTAATAGCACACTTCGAACCGGCGCACCGGTACCCTTCCCCGAAATCGACCACCGGCCTCTCGATTCCCATTCTACCGACCTCGCTATTCCAACATCTCCAACGCAACGGATTCACTTCAAATTTCTCAAAAAAATAGCGAAAACTAGAAATTACGAACGATCTTGCATATCTCAAAACTTCAAATATTCTATTTTGTTCAAAATTATTACATAAACCCAAAATAAAAATTAATGCTCGAAACTCTACTTTCAGACCAAAGAGAAAACACCGAACAGCAATCGTGACTCCATCGCGAGATGAACACGTGAGTATCAGAAATATATATTTTTACACGATCCATGGTTCAATATTTAGTGCACTTTGTACAATATCAGAGCTTTCTATGTAGGAATTATCACAGTCGACGAAATGATTCATTTTTTTTCGTTAGGGAAACAGTCGCGACACAGTTCGACGATCGAACTGAGGATCGGAGTCGAGCGTTCGAGGAATCCGGAGTTCCTGGAGAACCTTGAAAACCGTGGAATTAATTTCGTCTATGTTTTTTTCTCCCTCCCGACGTTATTCTATTTAACGAACGCCGCACGCTAGCGGAGAAGTTGCTAGAGCAGAGAATGAAACCGTAGAGATTTTTACGGACACGAGTGAAATGAATTTGTGCTAGGTCGCAGGTTTCCATTCTCGTCGGTTATTGAACTTGACTCTCTTCGCGCGCTGCATAACCCATTTTGTAATAGCACACTTTGAGCTCGCGGTCTCGGGGCTCTGTTCAAGACAGTTTTGCGCTACGATCGCCAGCTTTCCAAGAATTGAAAAAAAACAAATTCTAAAGGAACCGGTGGGAGGAATTTCTCTGCTCGAAACATCTCACTTTCGCGGATTTTCAAAGCAATATATCAACTATAGGGCACAGACATTGTTGATGAATTTTTCAAAATTACCGGGACTATTTATTTAATTAATATGAAAACTCAAAAGAGTTTATTCGTAGTCCACTTATTGTATACTTCAAATACAACAATACGATAGTTTTCGACTGCCTCCTATCATGCACGAGTATTAAAAGACAGTATTTCATAAAATTACCTACATTCTTAGATTATGAATTTCGAGCTGCTTTTCATTGCCGCATAATTATGAGTGCGTGTCTAATTTTAGTTGCGTGGCGTGTGAGAGACTAATTCAGTAATTTAATTGCATTAATTAATTAGAAGCGTTCACATGCTCGGCTCATTCGATTTACAAAGATTTTTAAGACTCGTTTCTGCATTCCTGTTTCAACGTAAAAATGTATTTTTCACCGCCGACCAACGCGTTAAATATTCTACAAATCGGATTTACCTGTCTGCCCATCGCTCGCCGTTTCCACTCGCGCTGATCGCCAATCTCTATTGATTTTCCCCGTGTAATTTTCAATATCGATTCTTTCCAAAACAAAGTTCTCGTATGAAAAATATTCTATATTTTTGATACATCTTTTTACTTATTATCAACCCTTTGCACTCCTATGTCGAATGTGACTCGACATTTTTTCGAGTCCAACAAAATACAACAATAGCGTAAGTAAAACAGATATTTCATTGAATTTGTTTAAATTTACCCTGCTTTTTAGTCGACGTAAATTTCAAATAAAACACTTGGAAGTGTCGGAAGCTGCCGGTAACAAAATTCAAATACAATTCGGAGTGCAAAGGGTTAACAAAGGTAGCCATTTTTTCCTGCGATCGGAAAGAAAATTTCCGGTTTGCTCGTCGGTCGTCGACCTTGGGGACTCAGGTTTATGGCAAACCTATTTTGTAATTGCTCGAACCCGCGGCGACCCGCACTTCCTATTACAAAATGGGCTCCGTATCTGTGTCCTTGTTCGAATCGTGCTCCTCGACGCCCGCATTCCAATAATCTTAGCCCGACGTGCAAAAAGCGAGTTTGCAGCCTGGATAGACCAACGAATCGATATGCTATTTTACTACGAACAAAAAATCGTGTCCCCGATAGATTAACCCTCGATGAAACCGAAACGGAGCCAAGAAGGCCCCCCCCCAGTGGAATTCTCCATATTTTTCAAACTGAACGACAGCGGAAAGGAATGTGTCGAATATTCGTTTTTTAAACTCCGGATCGACGGTTTTACACGCTGCGAATTTCACGCGGCAAAAAGCAAACGAATGGACAATCAGTTTGCGTTTCGACGATTCCGGAAGACGGCTCGTACGGTTTCGAAAATGTCCCCCCCCTCGTAACCGAGCTCGTTTCGCCCCACCTTTTGTCCACGTAACCCATTTCACAGATGAAACGGGTCCTTGTTCCATTTACGCCGACACCAGTACTCGTTTACCGCGTTATCGCGTCGCCGTGGAGCACAAAGAACGAGATCAAGAGACAAGCTTCGCGCTTTTCCAGAAAATCTTATCGGCGAAAATAGTAAGACACACAGGCGAAGTGAAAATCGAGGTCCGCGGGTAAAATCGTTCGAGATTTACGGGAGACATAAATTTTTTCACCCAAATTAACTCCGAATCGCATGATTTCTCCAAATCGAGCAACGCATGCCCGCGTTAACGACTTGCATCGTGGAAAAATAATTTTAGTAATCAAAGAAATTTGCCTGACGATGTTAACGCAGTAATACGACATACATTTATGCGAATTATTGGAAGCTAATTAAAAAGTACACGTATGATGTCGTTCTTCGGAAATTGTAACCGTAAATTGCACTTTGGAGCGCGTTAAATATTCGAGCGCACGAAAATCGATATTTAATTTTCCGATGGGAAAATAATTTCGTCGGAATTGGACGGGTATAATAATAAATAAACTTCGACGTTTGATCGACGGCTGCCAAAAAATTGAAAACGCCAGTACAGCGTGAATCTTTCCATCGAAAAGAGAATGATTGCATTCTCGAAATACGTTTAAATAGATGCAGGGAAGTCTGGGAGCCAGTACGAATGGCGTAATAAATTTAAGGAGGTCTGTTTAATCCCGGAGAAAAAGATCGTCGGGTAAAGTCGGGGGCGGGAATTTTAAAAATTCAGGATTTCCGCGACGACTCTGATAAACGGCTAGTACGCGTCACGAGCGCCGACCTGGGCCACGCCGGTGGGGGAAATAATTGTCGTAGCCAGATAAGAGCGTCGGTTATTCGGGCATTGTGCTCGGCTGCGTGGCGTAAGGCAGGTCAGGCACCCTCCTATATCTCGTTCGGGGGCTCCTACTTTTCAAAGGGTCACGGAAACACGGCGTTCCAATTTAACGGAAGAAACCTCGGTCGCACCACTCCCTCCCCAAACACCAACTTCGCTGAAAATATCGCGAACAACTATCTTCCAGCATTAACGCCAATTTCTTCTCCATTCTCTCACGTGAGTACACAAATCGCACACTACTCGTTCAAGATATCTTCCTCTACAGTAGTCCCTTCCTCAGATAGTAAAAGAAAAATATTTTTCTATATTAGATTTGTCGAATACACACGTTAAACATAGTGTTAACGATATTAGTCTATTAGTAATATTTTTTTAGATTTTTATAAAGTCATTCTCCAATTTCATCTCCATTCTCTCACGTTAGTACACAAATCGCACATTATTCGTTCAAGATATTTTCCTCTACAATAGTCCCTCACTCAACATCCTTAAATAGTAAAACAATAATATTTTTATAATAAATAGAGTTAAATAGTTAAAGATAGTGTTAACGATATTAGTCTATTAGTAATGTTTTTTAGATTTTATAAAGTAATTCTCCATTTTTTCATGTGAGTACACAAATCGCACATTACTCGTTCAAGATATCTTCCTCTACAATAGTCCCTTCCTCAAATAGTAACAGAAAAATATTTTTCTATATTAGATTTGTCGAATACACACGTTAAGCATAGTGTTAACGATATTAGTCTATTAGTAATATTTTTTTAGATTTTTATAAAGTCATTCTCCAATTTCTTCTCCATTCTCTCACGTTAGTACACAAATCGCACATTACTCGTTCAAGATATCTTCCTCTACAATTGTCCCTTCCTTCAATAGTAAAAGAAAAATATTTTTAGAATAAATAGAGATAAATAGTTAAAAATAGTGTTAACGATATTAGTCTATTAGTAATTTTTTTTTAGATTTTTATAAAGTAATTCTCCAATTTTTTCTCCATTCTCTCACGTGGGTACATAAATTGTACATTATTCGTCCAAGATATCTTCCTCTACAATAATCCCTTCCTTAAATAGTAAAAGAAAAATATTTTTCTATGTTAGATTTGTCGAATACATACGTTAAAAATAGAGTTAACAATATTAGTCTATTAGTAATATTTTTTAGATTTTATAAAGTAATTCTCCATTTTCTCACGTGAGTACACAAAGGGCAATCGTACATTATTCGTTCAATACATCTTTCTCTACAATAGTCCCTTCCTTAAATAGTAAAAGAAAAATATTTTTCTATATTAAATTTATCGAGTACACACGTTAAAAGTAGCGTAAACAATATTAGTTAAATTCTCTATTTTTGCATATTGAATATTAAAATATTCTTCTCTAAGAAAACGAACGATGAAGCTGTTATTTTATTTTGGCGATTACAGTGAACATATACATGGGAGCCATTAAATAGCGTTGCAGAAGCGTCGTACAAGGGATGGTAAACGTTTCGTGGGGTTGGAAATGATTTTTTTTTTTTTTAAGTTGCAAGGAGTATCGCGGAGGAAAACAATGATATCTGTTTGCGCGCGCGGCAATAAGAAGAATTCTAGTCGGGTTCGTTCGACGGAACACGTAACGCGCATTTGCGCTTCCGGTCGATACCTCCGGCCGATAAAGCGTTCCCTCGTAATCGTTGTGAAAGAGATTAAATAACGGAGTTTGTCCGTTTCCGCATTGAATAGCACGAACCTCAATGTCAATGTCAGTCGCCCTTTCACCTTATATAACGAACGAGCGCGCTCGCTCGCTCCCGACCGCCGCATATTACCAACTTAACTCGCTACGATCCAGAAGACCAATCCCCGGGACGAAATTCTTCCCCGGATACGAGCCTCGAATAACTAATAACTGATAAAACAACCGTTGGCCCGTTACTCGTCGAATAAAAATGAAAATTTCAATCACTGAACGAGGAATTTCCCTACGAACGGATTCGATCGAACGCGTATAAATCGATACGCGTTGGTTGGTTAAACGATCGATCGTTTACTCTTCGAATCAAATTTTCCCCATCTTCGTCCATCAGTCGTTGAATTTTCGATTTTTTAAATAAGTTATTTAGAATCAATTGTAGCGTATATTAACTTGAACTTATGGCAATTATT